AGCGTTAATCGTTGTTGTTGAAAAGTAACGGATTTTTTTTTTTTTTTTTGAAAAATAACTATTTCATTTTATGTTCCTCTGATCTTTTTTGAATGGTGCAGTTATTATTATTATTATGGACCTCTTTAAAAGCTATCATGTTATTAGGAGAAGCAACTTGGATAAACTGTGGGCTTTTGGACGACAGTCTTGCATTGAAGCAATGACTAAAATTGCTTTACGAGTTGGGGTTGTAAGGTTTCCGGAACCAAATGCTTTGATTGATTGGTGGGTTTCTTCAGTCAGTAAGAAAGAGTTCTTTACAGCTTCTTATCTTTAATATTTCGGAAAAGAAGGAGAGGATGCGAGGAAATGAAAGTTATTTGTGAAATTGTTACTATGATTCTCTACTTTTAAGCCTTCTGAATGCAATGGATGATTACACTATAAGTCGGCAAGGTGACGTTGGCAGGTTCCTTCGGGAAAGCTCAATGCGGTCCTTGGCTTTAGTGTTGCCAACGTTGACAGATATAGAGTTGCAGAGGGTCAAAACGAATGCAGCCATTTATAGGATTGTTCAACAGTCTTGTGAGAAGATCGACGCTGTTAGAGTAGTGAGTTTTCGGTTGCTTCGTAAATATTCAAAAGAAGGAAGAAAATTTCTAATTTTACTTGAAGTCTCTTTGATAAGTAACATACTTTTCATTGAGTTTTTAACTGCTTTTTAAAAAGCAGATTTTTTATCAGTATTTGATATGGGAGCAAGTAAGTATTTACGGAACTCACGACAGGTATTCGTATTGAACAGTTGGAAAAATCGTTTTTAGCTATTGTGAGACTCAGTTATTTTTTTGTAACACTTCCTCGTTCTTAAAAATAAAGTAAGAAATTGTTGTAAAACAACATTGTACAGTTTTGTAACTTAGTTCATGATTTTAGTGCGCAGCTGATGTTATGTGCAGCTTACTTTGTAGTGGAATGGATCATATTGTAGAGAGAGAGATCCTCTTCGATGTGTATCTGCGTAATGCACCATACGACTACAAAGGGGACTCAGCGCTATACAGATACGATGATTGGCGCTTAAAGAGTTGTTTTTCCAGGCTTGCTGTACTCCTAACCAGTTCACACTACGCATATTCTGCATTGAGTGGTTTCGTGATATCAGCAGGTTTTGCCTTTTTAAGAATTTTGTGGTTTTTAAGATTGCTGAAATTACTAATTAGTTTATGCTATATAATTGTAGGTGGCTTGACGGAATCAACAAGGAGGAATGCTGCTGATGCGGTCTTTACAGTTGTTGCTCAATATCGTGACTCAGAGCAGGTCTTTATTTTGTGCTTATATAACCATTTGTTTATCTAACTTTGGTTGTAGAAGTTATAGATAAAGCTAATTTAGTTTATGGAGAAGTTCCTGCATAATATCAGTTTAATATTCGTTCAACACACATATGAGCGACGCGTAGTGTTGCCCCTACTCTGTTTCTTGGATCAGCTGTTCAATGCGCAGCTCTTAACCTGTTTTGAAGCGAATCCAGACTCGTCCTCTTCACTGACTAAAATAGTTAATTTTGTTGTTCGTGTAAGTATTGGATGTGTTGTGGCATAGCTGTACTTTTTTTTCTGGTGAAAATGGTTAATTATATTTCTCAAATTTAGGGTAGGGCAGGACACACTTTCTTAGCAAAATAACGATTTATTTTTTGGACGAGAATTACTTTCTTCAGAACGAGGGGATAACTTACTTTTTAGATTGCGAGTGCTGAGAGCAATTCCAGAAGCGTTCGGCTTGCTATCAATGTGCTGTGTCATTTTCTGCGCTTTAGTAGTAGCAGCAACATTTGGCACAAATCCGTTTCTGTGGTATATGGGCAATTTGTTCATTTGTTTTATTCAAAAAAAACTTTTGTAGAAGATAGTAAATTGCGAATGAGTTAACGTCAATTCTACCAATTATTCTATCCAATGTGAGGAGTACATCTTTTCTAGTACTACTTTCGCCTTTAGTTTTCAATTCAGTCCCTGTACACTTATTTCAGGTTATACGTGCTTTGCGCTGTCCTTACCCGCTTCTTCGCAGTAATGCGGCTGAACAATTATACGAATGCCTAGCAGCCGAGTGTGTGCTCGAAGATGAGATGGGACGACGTGAAAAGATTTTGGATTTACTTGCCAGTACGAATTGGCAAGTAGAGGATAAAGAGGACGTATTATTCAAAATTAGCGATTCAGTTGCTCACTTACTGAATGTGTCATAGAAGAAATTTTCCTGCGGTTGCTGGCCTTACATTGTTGTTTTATTTTTGCCTTTAAGGTTTCATTTGTTTTGCCATCCTTTGTAAATCTGGTTCCGGTCAGTGTAGTTCTTTACCCTGCCCAAAATTAGGACAAAACTGGAATTTCAGGGGAACTGTAATCTTTCAAAACTTATTCACTTCAAAAATTTAGTTCCTCTGATTAGTTTCTAGTTTTTAGTTTTTAGTTATCTAGGGCTTTTCTTTGACGCCAATAGTCTCTATAGTTATTTCGTGTATGAAATGCAACTATGTTTACCACTCGCTATCTACTGTAAATCTAGTCCCACAACATCTTGTTCCGGTTATTTAGACAGTCATGATCAACTTGATGTACGAGTAACTTATTTTGCGGAAGACAATATCATGAAAATTCTCTTTTGTTTTCTTAAGAAAAAATATCCTACGAATATAACTGACGCCTTGAAAGTCTTTTAGTTTTTGAAACACTTTTTCAAGGATCGTATTAAAACCGAGGTTAAATTTGGTATTCATGAGTACTTTCAAGAAGTTGGGAGATGTGATTATTTTTTTGATTTGACCGATGAGGGAGAGACTTATAATATGCCTATTGTTATTGACTCTGCACTTAAATCAATAATTAATATTTACGTGTTATTTCTTCGTGTAACTATTATTATTAATCGTTACAAAAGTGGTTTTCAATAAGTGTCTGTGTTCGGCACAGAGTTTTTTGTTTTTAAAGTGCAAACATTTAATCGAATTGTTTTATCATGGTTAAAATGTGGCACGTATTAATTGATTTGTTATGCTTATTTTTAAAGCCTTAATTTCCCTGATAATTAGCCAGAAGCATAATTTTGAGTTTTAGTACCTCGTATTTTTTCTGTGTTCTCTCGAATAGTCGCTGCAGTAATTTTTTTGCTGCAGTTCTCTTAATGTAATTCTTTCATTGGTGCATGTATGCTTCCTGAAATATCTTGTTGTCTTGTTTCCTCATCTCACAAGTCATTCCCATGCTATTATTTTTTTGGAAGTCATTTTGAGTGATGCGGTTTCAAGGGGCCCGGAATTCAAAGGGTTCCGGTTAACTAAGGCATGAAGTAAATTTTTTGGATTGCGGGTTTATAATTTGAGAAGCATGAAATATGCTCTTTGAAGGCATGTTTTAGTGGTAGATATCGTTCTTGTGATCTTTAACGATAGGTCCACAGATTATTTGATTTGTTTTTTGTTTTTTCAGTTAATATAGCAGGCAGATTTAGCAGCACTTCATGGTGCTGTGACGAATAATCGAGTGTTAAGTCTTAGGTAGTGCGTTACACCTAGGTTGGCAAAGTGACTAGTCAATTGTGAATTTGTGTTTGTTTTTTGGAGTTGGCATGTATTGTTGAGGTAAATTTTTTTTATTGGATTTAAGCTAGTCTCGCATGTTCTGCATGGAGTGGAACGTGACGGGACTTAAGTAGGTTGAAAAAAAATTTTGTGACTTAAATATACGATTGTGTTGTCCATAAGAGGTCGCAGTGGGCTCTGTTCAGTTTTTTTGCTTTTTTTCGTCGTAGGCCAGGGAGATTCGCATGCAGTGGTGTGGATTCCAAGATTTGATGTCTTCCGCATAGGACCTGGTTTTTCTGGTTGAATTGTTCCTGATTACAATAAATGCAAGTCGGCATTGGAGGTTAGAGTGTCACAAACCACTCGTTTGAAGTTCACTCAGTCCCAGGTCGGCTGGAAATTCTGAGGAGGAAGTTATAGGTTCTAATAGGTGTTTACAATCCGTAAATGAGAGATGGAGTTTGGTGGTTTAGAGATCTGAAAACTTGCGTCTTGAATTGCCTAATAGTTCGAAAATCATTGGAATTTCAGTCAGGTTTTGACTGATGATGAGGGATTTTGGCATCTTCATGTATAATTATATATTTATATATAAATTAGTGTTGGGGCAAAGGATTTTTGGAAATTGGTATTCAAAATAGAAGAATTATCTAGTTTTTTAGTGGTGTTGTGAAGCTGTGAATCGTGTTTTTCTAGACGCAGTATCAGACAGTTACGTCACACAATTTTAATTGTCTGGTTTTAAATTTCAGACTTACTACAAAGCATTTTTATAAGCCTTGCTTATTGTTCTAATAGGAACAGTGCTGTACTACTGTGTAAACAGTTATGCTTGAACGAGTACGGCGAGACATTTTGATTTCCTTTCATCGTTTTGGTCGTCGAATTTCTGGTGCAGTAATGCAGAAGATTTTAAAGCTTTAAAGTAAAGAAGATTAGAAATGGGGGTTCATATTGTGAGTTGTGTCTTTGAAATGCGTGTTATAACTTTTACTGGCATCTGCAACCAACACTATCAGAGGGAAATAAGTGCCTTTTTCGTCTTGCTAGATATATTTCATCATTCTGCTTAACTTCTTTAGAAACCTCATCATTGGTTGCTTTAGTGTTTCGTGAAAGTACCAATTAAGGTCGGAAGCAATTGGATTACAACCAGACATTAGTGGATTATTTTGGGAAATAAATTTCTGTTGTCATACTAGTTAAGACTGAAAAAAATTATATTTTTTGTTTAAGCTGTTACCATGGGACTGATTTAGTAGCTTTACAATCTATGCATGCATGATTTCTTTATATCATCGACAGTTTCATTATGTCGTACATGTGTTTTTCTATATAATTTGAAAAGCATTTAGTTCATCTTATTGCTTCTCACTCGAAAAATTTTTTCATGGTTATGTAATTGTAATTGCGAGTATAAGCAAGTTTAACTAAGTAATCATTTATTGCAGATGGCTACCGACTTGAACAAGTTTATTCCTATTTGTCAGTTGACGCCTAATATGAAGAATATTAACCTTACGTTTATTGTATTGGAAGTTGGTTGGTTGTTACAAGAGAAAATTTTTCAATATTTGAATCTATTTGTGGCAAATTATGCTGAACGCAGTAATATATGAAAGCAGCTTGATTAGTAAATTGTTATCACCACTGCAATTGTTTGGGCCCTCTTTATTTTGTGTATAACAACGTTAGAATATATTTTTTTCGACTTCCAACCTGTTTTACTTGTATTTTTTTAGGTCCCCCGCGTCGTACTCCTCAAGGTAATGATGTCAGGACAGTACGTGTTGCTGATCCTACGGGTTCCGTTTTATTGACTGTTTGGAACGACATAGGAAACTGCATCGCAGAGAGTGATATATGGAGGTTAAGGTAAAAACACAGCTTTTGGAAGCCTTATTTTTTGCGCCACAAGATTTTCTGCGAAAAAGATTAGTTCTTTGAAAATTCTTCTTATGGGGTGTCAGGGCATTAAAGGGGTCGGGCGGGGGAGGGTTAACTAACATCTAACACAGTAAGAGTGGAGGTGATTTTTAGGTGGGATATGGCTCCCTCAAACAGTTCAATAGAGTATGCTTTTATGAAGAAGTTTTGCGATAGTCGAAAGTCAAATTATTTTAGCACTTATTGATTGGTGTGTTTCACTGCTTTTCTACACACCTATATGTTTAAAAAGTATACTCATAGGTTACTATTCTCATCTTATTAAATTAATTTTCTGTACTTTTCTTAGGAATGGTTACACTTCAGTTTACAAAGGTATGATGTCGTTATCCTGTGGAAAGCTTG